AATTTAATGAAAAATTTGAGATTTTTGTGAACAATGTGGGAACTTTGGAGGCCTTTAGGTTTTAAAAGCTCAATCTTTGTGCAAATTCTGCTTTGGGTTTTCTAAAAATTTACCTGATTTTTTGAGTTTCGGATTTCAATATTCAAATTTTAAAAATGTACCCGTTTGTACAAGTGTTTTTCAGGTTTAATGGGGTTTCAATTAATGTTTTCCGTTGATGATCTCCCAGTGCCTTCTGAAGTAGCTCAAACGGCTTGGAGAAGGAGGACCTATTCTTTAGGTATGTGAGATCTTCTTATTCAGCTGCATTTCATTGTAGAATTTGGAGAGTGTGTTAATATGTTGAGTTCTGTTTGCACAATTGATTTTTGAAGATTTATTCTATGTTGTAGAGATCCCATTTGCGACAATTTTATTATGAATTCCAAAGAAGAAAATGGTGAACTCCCCAGTTTAAATGCTTCTTTCAATGGAGACTCTGGCCTACCAATGGGAGGTAGGACTATTGTGCTTGATGGTAAGCGAACTTTTATCCCTCCAGTCTCATGTTTATATTCAAACGTTTTAACTTCACCCACTCTACAGCAAAGCAACGGGCAAGTTTGGTGGAATGGTTAAATGATATGGTGCCAAATTTAAATCTTCCTTTAGACGCTTCAGACGAAGAACTAAGAGCTGGCCTGATCGATGGGTCTGTCTTTCGTAGCATTTTGAGCAGACTGAGTCCTGGATATGAGGAGGTTGAGTTCTGTCTATTTGGTGCTATACTCACTTGACTAAAACTATTATGATGAATTTATTATTGGCATTGAGTTTTCAATTTGATATATTTTCTTCTTGTAGAATGGCGTTTCTGATACTTCTTCTGAGCCACATCTGGGAAATGTTAAGAAATTTTTGGCTGCTGTGATTGAAATGGGGTTGCCCAAATTTGAAACATCAGACTTAGAGAAGGTAATCATTCTATTTTGCAGTATCTCATACAAGAACCTCACTTAACAAACTCACCCCATGCAAACAAACTTTGGCACGTAGAAACTGAAGTATGACTTCTGATTCAAAAGTGGAATATCCCTTCTTTGGAAAAATAGTGAAAATCATCGTCATCAATAATCTGTTCACTATAGGTGAAATATTGACCTCATTATAATGGAAGAGCCAACTCTATATAAAGTGAGGTGGATAGCTGTCATCTCTACTAATTTAATAAGATAACAAGGTACCATGGGAATCTATTTAGGGTGCAATGGTGGAAAGCACAATCTAGATTCATAGGACCTTTAGTACTAGTTATATAAGAAAGCAATAAAACACTCAGTGTCATACTTATACAGTGTTTTTATCTATATTGATTTGGAGGGAACGATACTTTGTTACCCAGTACTGGATCTTGACCTTTTATCTATTTGTATTTAGTGTTCTAACAGCTTGGATTTTTTTATATGCTTTACAGGGATCTATTACAAAAGTTTTGGAATGTCTTTGGATGCTTAGGGCACAGCTTGATCTTAGTATCGGGGAGGATACTGCTCTTCCAGGTATTGCTAAAATTGGAAATCAACAAAGGAAGAGATGGAAATTTTCAGAAGGTGAACCTTTAGAGGGAAACAGTGGCTATCTTGGGGAATTCTCCCCACGTGGAGTTAATCTTGGGGAATTTTCCCCACGTGCAATAAATTTAGGGGAATTCCCTCCGCGTGGGGGAAATGTTACCCCACATGGAGTAAATTTAGGGGAATTCTCTCCGCGTGGGGGAAATGTTGTGGCATCTGGAGAGGAGAGAAGGAAGAATTTGTCAGAATCAAAATTCCAACGTGTTTTGCGAAGTCCTATTATGTCAGGTATTGTTATATGAACTTAAAATGCATTGAAGAATTTTCATTTGAATGTGATTGGGTATATGATGTATCTCTAGTTGCATTATATCTTTCTCTCGTTCATTAGTAAAATATGCTAATCACAGTTTTTCTTCACGGTGATTTACTCACGCCCACTCTCTGTATTTGGTAAAAATATTTAAATTTTGAAACAAAATGTATCATGTGGAAGAAATAAAGCATATGGTCCACACAATATAGAGAACGATACAGCAAAGACTAGCATGGCCCCTGCGCAAGGATGAGACACACAGATTGTGAAACGGTCAAAATGTCTCGTTACCTCTATCTCTCATAAGGGGGGGAGAAAAGAAAACTTTATTAACTGAAGTTGTCATGTTTGTTTCACTGTTCAGCAATCTATTACAATTATCTTATAATATATTGGTTCATTATGCTTACTTACCATATTCTTGTATACAACAGTCATCTGTGATTGGTTCACTTATTTTTTGTGTGCTAATTTATCATTATTCTTGTTGATTTTGTTTTATTCTTTTGTTTTCATCTGTAGAACCATCTGCTGCGTTGATTCATCATGTTGGACATAAGTTTCATGAGGTGTTTCAACTGAAACAGGGGCGTTATTCTGATCTTCCTGCTGCTAAGATATCAGAAATGATAAAATCAACTAGTCTAGATGTAACTTTCTACAGTCTTTGCACCATTAGTTTGACCTCTCAATTTGGCCATGCTATTTATACTGATGAGTGATGGCTATTCTTGTTTTGTTCTGTTTTTCCCCTTTTTATGTTATTAATTATAATACCATGTCTTTCTTGCAGAATGCTCCAACTCAATCTCTGTTGAGTGTTGTAAATGGGATTCTTGATGAAAGCATTGACAGAAAAAATGGGGAAATACCTCATGTATGCCAGTGAGAGGAGTCATTGGTGTCTTACTATGCATTCATCGCTTAGCATAATGTTTTACTGTCTTCTTCATATTCAAGTTGAATACATAACTGAACTCTCTGTGGTTTCTGCTCAGCGTGTTGCATGCCTGTTGAGAAAAGTTGTCCAAGAGATTGAGCGGCGGATTTCAACTCAAGCAGATCATATAAGAACTGTAAGCTAGTTTTGACTATCATTTTTCATGGAACCGTGCACCACTTTTATATTTATTTGTTGTTGTGGTGTGCAGCAAAACAATTTGTACAAGGCTCGTGAAGAGAAGTATCAGTCAAGAATTAGAGTACTTGAAACCCTTGCGACTGGGACTAGCGATGAAACACAGGTGCTACAAGAAACTTTAACGCGTCATATTCACATGTGTATATATACATTGTATCCCCGATATTTATATACTTGTCATCATTTTTTTGTAACAGATTGTTATGAACAAGCTCCAACAGATAAAGGTACAGTCCTGTTCTTTGACCCGTGTTTTTGTTGACTGCTATGCTGTCCGTTATTCATCTTCTATACTGGATTTCGTAGCCGTGCTTACATGCTAAGAACTCCATAATCTACAGAGCATTTTTGTATTCATGATATCTATGTATAATTTATGCATTTGTAAAGGTTAGCAAATGCTTTATCTATTACTTCAATATCTTGTATATGTGCCACGGAAATTACTGTGGACTCTATATGTTTTTTAACGTGTATCAGTGTATATCAATATGGGTATTAGGCATGAATGACCTGTCTATTTGTTTGGGCCTCAATTTTATAAAAAAAAGTAGACACTGCATGTGATATGGTCAGAAGTACGAGTACCACAACAAGCATATATTCAGTGATGTTGTGATGTGCTTATGTAATGAATGTCATTGTAATCTGACTATGAGCAAGTGGTCAATTAGAGTTCTATCCCATGAAATAATTTCACTAGAACAAACTGAAAGAGTGCAGGGATTGACACTCACAAATAGCAGCCATCTTCTAACTTTTTGTGTGGGTCAGGGTTCTCTTTGCTAGTAGAATTATCTTTTCAATAGCTTATCATATGATAAAAAATATCAATAGGTTGGCCCTTGCAAAGGTGGAAAAATAGGTCTTTATGTGACAGTTTTGTGCTTCACAAGTGGAGTTTGCCTGAAACTGTTATTCTTATAAAAGTGTGGTTCTGTGTTGCATAGTTCCTGAGATATTTAAGTGGCTCAACATGTATGAATTATGTTTTCTACTACAGACTGAGAAGTCCAAAATGGAAGAGAAAAAGAAAATTGAGGAGCTGGATGTGATTAAGTTGATGAAAGAGAAGGATCATGGCAATCTTGAGATTTCTGCACTTAAACACGAATTAGAAGTAACCAAAAAAACATATGAGCAACATTGTGAACAAGTGGAAACACAGGCTAAGGAAGCTCAAGTTGAGTTAGAGGAGAGGTTGAAGGAATTTGATCACCTCCTAGCAGATTCGCGGCAAAAAGAGAAAGACATTGAGGCGGTTTCTGAATCAAAAGCTCAAAGTTGGAAGACGAGAGAACTTACCTACCAAAATTTTGTAGATTTTCAGTTTAAAGCATTGCAGGTAAGCCTCGACCTCCCAAATTTTAAACTTTATTGCGGTATTTGATTCGAAATATTAACACAATTTTCTAAAATTTCCCAGGAACTGAGGGTGGGCTTCTCATACGATCAAGCAGGAAATTGTTAGAACACATTATCGCTACTCAGATGAATTCAGTTGTTTGGGTAGGATTTGTAAAATTGTTACTGTTCCGGAGCTATCTTGTACACAGAAAGGCTTTGTTATCATATGTCATGTTTGCATTATACAGGTGAAAAACTTAAAGGGTTAGCAGATGCAGCCCAGAATTATCATACAGTTTTAGAAGAAAACCGAAAGCTTTATAATGAGGTCCAAGATTTAAAATGTGCATTGCTTAAATTTGCATGATTATGTCTTTTAGTTTTATTTGCTTATGGTAATTTTTCTAAAGTATCTGGGTATTCGTGTGTAGGAAATATTAGAGTGTACTGTCGTATAAGACCAAACTGATTTTGTGGACATACACTTCAAATCTGTCCACGGGACAACAACCTTTTATTGGTCCACGTATGTTAGCAATCCATGTCATCATAAGGTACAAGAAATCAATAATAATTATTCTAACTGTTTATTGGATTATTAACATACGTGGACCAATAAAAAAATGTTGTCCCGTGGACAGATTTTAATGTATGTCCATAAAATCGGACTAGTATAAGACCATTCCTTCGTGGACAAAATAAAAAGCATACGACCATTGAGTATATTGGAGAGAATAGGGAGATAGTTGTTGCAAATCCCTCCAAACAGGGGAAGGAAAGCCACAACAATGTTTTTGGTCCAACAAGTACTCAAGGTATTGGATATGATATACTTTACTCTTAAGCTTCTTTATGTAATGATGAAATCATTGAAATGTAGCCTGGCACCTTATTCATATAGTATTGTTAGAAATTAAATATGCTATAAAATCAAAGTAAATATTGCTATGGTGTTAAGTATTTATGTTTGTTCCAGCTTTTCAGTGACACCACAATTTGTCTGAACTTATCAGCTAGGTCATGTTGTATTCAGTTGAATGTGAGTCTATGATGGATGCTTAACCCATTGGTTTGCCACATATGCTATAAACAACAAAACACTGCTCTATTTATATTTTATACAGAGAAAGTCCTATAACGGACGGCTCTTACTATGTATTATAAGTCTGCTTCAGCTAAGTTCTGGTTTCATGTCATTACTCTCGGCCTGGTTCATCTATGAAGTTGGTGTTCAAATGGTCGAAATATACAATGAACAAGTGCGTGACTTGCTCTCAAGTGAAGGTTCCCAGAAAAGATATCCTTCATTTACTTACTTTTATTTGCTCTTTGCAACAAACAAGTATATTAAACAGTAGGCTGACACCATAGCTAGTCTTCACATTTTGCATTTCGTCTGCGGTTTTCATATCCGTGCGTGGTGTGCTTTATGAGAATATATTTTATGGTTATAATTAGTTAGATGTGCTTGAAATTGATTAGGATATTGCTTCATTCTATTCGAACCTTTATTTCCTTTAACTTGCACACACTTGGGATTTTGACCCAATGGACTAGCTGTTCCTGATGCCAGCATGCACCCTGTCAAATCGACCACAGATGTTTAAAATTGGACAAGCAAACCGGGCAGTAGGTGGCACCGCACTCAATGAAAGAAGTAGCCGGTCACACATGTTAATATTTCTGATATTACTGTTGTTTATCAGAATGAAGTTACTTTCTCTATGTGCTAGTGCTACTCACCAGTGAAGTATACACGGTTCATATTCGTGGAACGGAGTTGGAGACTGGTGCTGCTTTGCGTGGTCAGGCAAAGACCCTTATGTTTGTACAGCTTAATCCTGATACTGACTCATATTCTGAGACTGTAAGTACCTTGAAGTTTGCTGAGAGGGTATCTGGAGTTGAGCTAGG